TCTCCTTTTGTACTCTCTCTCACCACTCTCTTCACCTTTCTTTTACTCTCCATATACTCTGCTCCTCTTATAACACTTCTGCTTTGTAAAAACCTCTCATAAGCTACCTTTTTCTCTTTTATCACACCCTTTACTTCATCATTCCACCAATCACTCCTCTTTCCTCCTGCACCCACCCTCCTATAACCACAAACTTCTGCCCCACATTCTAATACTGCATTTTTAAAACTATTCCAACCTCTTCAACCCCCCCCCCACTACTCATACGTGCACCAGCCCACCTTTCTGCCAATAGTTGCTTATGTCTTACCTTAACTTCCTCCTCCCTTAGTTTATACACTTTCACCTCTCTCTTACTTGTTTCTATTTTCCTTTCGTCCCATCTACCTCTTACTCTGAGTTACAACTACATAATGATCCAATATATCAGTTGCCCCTCTATAAACATGTACATCCTGAAGCCTACCCATCAACCTTTTATCCACCAATACATAATCTAACAATCTACTTTCATTACTTGCTATATCATACCTTGTATACTTATCCCTTTTTTATAAAATATGTATTACGTATTACCAAACCTCTTTCTAAACATAGCTCAATTAAAGGCTCCCCATTTACATTTACCCCTGGCATCCCAAATTTACCTACTACTCCCTCCACAACATTTTTACCCACTTTAGCATTGAAATCCCCAACCACAAGTACTCTCACACCTGGTTCAAAACTCCCCATGCACTCACTCAACATTTCCCAAAATCTTTCTCTACACTTCTCTCTTCTCCAGGTGCATAAATGCTTACTATAACCCATTTTTCACATCCAACCCTTATTTTACACCACATAATCCTTGAAGTAATACATTTATATTCCCTCTTTTCCTGCAATAACTTATCCTTCAACATTATTGCTACTCCTTCTTTAGTCCTAACTCTATTTGAAACCCCCTGACCTAATCCCATTTATTTCTCCCCACTGAAACTTTCCACCCCCTTCAGCTTTGTTTCACTTAAAGCCAGGACATCCAGCTTTTTTTCATTCATAACATCCACAATCATCTCTTTCTTATCATTCGCACAACATCCCACTAAGGCAGGTGACCTAAAAAGAAAAAAAATTTTTTTTTTTTTTTACAGCTAGTAACTGATACAGGAAAAGGGGCCCTAGTCCCTTGTCCTTGACATTTTAGTTGCTGCCTCCTACGACATGCAAGGCTTACGGAGGAAGAATTATTTTCCACTTCCCCTATCTAAATATCTGTACCTATTAATGAAGAGTGGATATACAGTTTACAAATATCTCATATCATGATGCCGGGATGAGAAAACACCCTAGTGGATGTAGAGTTACTACAGTTCCAAGACTGTGGAGTTGATATGTCAATTACAAAACCTGCATATGCTATATAACTTATGAAAATCATAATAACATGATTGTAAACAAATTCTAAACTACTACACCAAACTCTTAATAAAATGGACCTCTATACAAGACTTTAAAAATACATAATAAAACTGCTGGTTAAGTCAATTTGGAAATAACTGACAAACTTTGTTCGCTAGAGAATTGTCTGGTATTGTTATTATATCCATCACAACAGCCATCACTGACCACTCGCTTCCTCTTTAATAGTTCCTTATATCGAGAGTTTGCTGTAGTGGTTAGAACACCTGTCTCCTAACTTAAGACTGGCTTACCAAGGGTTCAAAGTTTGTCTGTTCAGTGAGCTTTATATATGAATAACGTCCTTCTGATCCACCCTAATGCAACACACAAAGCTTTAAATATGGGAATATAAAGCTAAAGCACTGCAGTAAGCCTAGGGGGCCTTGCTAAATAGGTCCTACTCATACCCAACCATCGTCACCAGACAAGCCTGGCCTAGGGCCAAGCTGCAGGAATGTGAAAACTTTCAAAACCTTTCAAAAGTTCTTATTTTTATAGCTACCAAGAGCATTTGTGTCAATAACAATACTTTGCAGTCTGTACACAAATAACCTGCACATAGAAGAAAGAAACTTATGATGATGTTTCAGTCTGACCATTAACTAGTCACACACTGTGACTAGTTAATGGACTATGTCGGATCAAAACATTGTCACAAATTTCTTTCTCCTATGTGTGGGTCATTTGTGTATTTTTCCAGTCACTGTATTGTGCCTTTTTGTTCTCTATTTTGCGGTCTCTTCCACTCACCTATAAATCTGCTCTCAATTCACTGCCTTCCTATTGCCTTCCTAAATCTGACTTTATCAAACTTAAATCCACTGCTGAAAGTTCCATATTAGATATTTTATTTAACAGATTTACATAGTTTATCCTTTCTTTGTACAAATATTTGATTGGAACATTTATGAACAGTGAAGTGACTTAATATTTCACCACTACATGTACAAAATATCACGAGAAACCATACCACGGGTGGGGTTTGATCCCGCGGTCAGAGAGTCTCAAAACTCCAGACCGTCGTGTTAGCCACTGGACCAGCTTGCCACAATAAGATTCATCCAACTAGGTATATTTCTATACCATCATGTTAATGGCTTTGAGGGGACTTGAGCTACAGTTCGTCACGGCCACGCTAGCTGGAGATTCGTCTGTAAAAAACTTGCATTTGTGGTCACAGTGGTGCCTATGCTAACCTTCCTATGGTGTAGAAATATACCTAGTTGGATGAATCTTATTGTGGTTAGCTGGTCCAGTGGCTAACGCGACGGTCTGGAGTTTTGAGACTCTCTGACCGCAGGATCAAACCCCACCCGTGGTATGGTTTGTTTGCAATCGTGTCATTACGATTTTGTGAGTCATGATATCACGAGAACATTGATTCATGTACGTTTTTGCAAACTAAGACTATTCACCATTCTTCTACGAACATCAAAACAAACCAAAATAATAAGTACGGCATATGGCAGTTTAAGTGATTATGTTCTTATGTTCTTCTTATGTTCTTCTTACGTTCTTATGAATGAAGTGATTATATATTACTTGCAGCAATTTTTTTAAATGTGAGAAAATTAAAAACATTTAGGTATAAAACAACATCAATGATGTTAATTAAACCAAGTAAAAATGTAAGCGTACTAATCTTATACCTTTGGTGGGTTTCCAGAGTCTTTCTACTCCTGAATTTATGTTCTGGTATTACCCAATACCTTTTGCAGTGTTGTGTTTTGTGTTAAGGCTATACTGAAAAGTTCAAGAATGTGAGAAAGTTTCAAGACTATACTGAAAACTTCAAGAATAAGAGATAATTTAAATGTTTATCAGATGAAAAGTCAAAAAAGAAAAGAAAATTCTGAAACTTTAAAGTACAAACAGTTCAACCTAATACGTAACATTAAAAGTTAAAACTGACCCCCATACCACTATCAATATTAACCTACCATCATCCTAACTCCATACAGTTAAAAAAAAATAAATGTTTTATACTAGAGAAAATTGCTTATGGTGAACCTCAAATAAAACTTTCAGATGCCATGGTGATACCAACAAGATGTGGAAAAAGACACTTATGTACAGTTCGGGACATTTATTCGGGACAACGTTTCCTCTAATAAATATCCTTAACTGTATGTAAGTGCTTTTTTTTTTCCACATTGGGTAAAGCACAACACTTCCCCACTTCTCAGACCATCACAATTATTGACTACACTCACTATGCTGTATATGTGAGGCCCTCCTGGGAGGGCCTTACACACACACACCACCTATTTTCGGTGTTCCACATTTTTATTGGCTTTCAATTGAGCCATTGTTCATTATATTCTGTGCTTTTACCACTGCTCCACTATTATCGTCATTTTTTTACAACAGCTGCATAAGGTAAGGACAACCAGCGCCATTAGAGCTGTATGAACAGGACCCTCCTATATTTCACACATCATTTTAATACCACTCCGGACACTATACCTAAAATGTTATGAAGATCTTCTATTATTTTACCACATCATCTGTTTCCCACCAAGGTGGAGCGACCCAAAGAAGGAAACACATCCACCATTACTCACTCTCTAGATGTCTAGAAGTGCACAGACTTCACAACCATACACTACACAAATAATATATGGCAGTCTCTAAGAAATTAAATCTTTTTTTTTTCAACACATCGGCCATCTTCCACCAAGGTAGGGCGACCCAAAAAAAAAAGAAACACTTTCACCATCATTCACTCAATCACTGTCTTGCCAGAGGGGCACCGATATTACAGTTCAAAACTGCAAATATCCCCACCCCTCCTTCAGAATGAGGCACTGTATTTCCCACCTCCAGGACTCAAGTCTGGCTAACCAGTTAATTCTAACGAAACACCCACATTTGCTATCCATCTCTCCGTCCCTAGAGACCTGCTGGTACACACGGAATATTTCTCTTACATGACTTAATTTTTTAAAATCACCCAGACTAAAAACAGTAAAGGGAACTTAATTACCATCAATAAGTTTAAAAAAAAACAGGAACAGCAAGAGTTATAAAAAAAGTCCTTTTAGAAGATAGAATAAAAAATATTTAGGCTCAATGAATAAGATGCATTTAAAATGAACATGCAGAATTAGCCATTTTTTATGTCATGTAAGCCTAAGAGACTAAAAAATGTGACAGCATTTTTATATGAGCATATGCTGATAGATACTTTTAAGATCTGAAAAAAATTAAGCAAAATATATTCCAGATGTTATTAAGTATCTGTCAGCATAGACTCATAATAGATGCTGTCACATTTTTTAGTCAGTCTCTTAGGCTTACATAATCTAAGAGACAGACTAAAAATGCAACATCATCCATTATAAGCCTAGGCTGACAGATACTTATAAGATCTGAAATAATATTCAAATTAATTTTTTAATTTTTATTCAATCTACATTCAGCAAAAATAACAAAATGCTCCAAAATTTCACTGACAACAGCTTTGGCTCATAAAATGTGAGTCACACCATCATGCGAGTGTGTGATTGAGATATCACGGGCGGTAACAGGCACTGGTCTGGAAGCTATGTTACCTGAACCTAATCCTAACACTGGGTCGAAGCGGTAGGCGCCTTGGGGAGGAAGAAGGGAAGATAGATGGGTTATTGGTACATACACTTAATTATGGGAATCAAGGCAGAGGGTGTGGACTGTGTATGGTCAGGTTACTGGTAAGCTAAAATAGCTGAAGTTGCCACAACAGCTTCTGTAGCTGTATGTGAACCTATACAGGAAGGCAGAGCTGGATTAAGCTTTTGTAGGCCCCTGGGCTAGAGTACTCTGAGGGACTCCAGTGATATTTTCAAAAGGAAAAAAGTTTAAGAAATATTAAATTTATTTTTACAAGGCTAACAACAATTAAAATTCAAATATTTGCTTTGTGTAATTCTTGGAAACAAATTTCTCCAAAACATCAGTAAATTGTAAGTTGTTGAGAACATCTCTGGAGGCCCTCCAGCTGGTGGAAGCCCTCCAGCTGGTGGAAGCCCTCCAGCTGGTGGAAGCCCTCCAGCTGGTGGAAGCCCCTGGGCTGCAGCCCATATAGCCTATCTTTAACCAGCTCTGCAGGAGGGTCCCCATATATACAGAACCTATTTTTAGTTTTCCATAATTCTGTTGGCTTTCAACTGAGCTATTGTTGCACCCACAGGTGGAACATAATCAACAATGGTTCAGTTTGAAGCTGACAAAAATGTTGAATATTGAAAAGAAGTTGCTGTATATGTGGTGCCCTCCTGTATTTTTCTACATAGTTATTTCTATAAATTTCATCAACCTTCTCAATATTTTTTAAAAGTCACTTTATTTTCTATTCAGTTTTAACACCCAACAACTAGTCTTCACTACTAACTCTAATTATTTAATAATAATAACTGACTGGAACTAAGTATATTCAGAAGTAAGACATGTCAAGCGTGTTCTGCATTGTAATGTTACACATTAACTTTCCAAGATGGAAGTCAAAGCGACAGCAAGTTTATTTTTTTTTTAACACACTGACTGTCTTTCACCGAGGTAGTGGGACCCTACCATATGATAATAATATAACATCTTTACTTCTACACGTACATGTACAAGGTATACAGACCATAGCTGACATCACTGACATACTACTATATTGAAAGACACTTTTTATGCAGAGCATTTCAGGCAAATTAGGTCAATTTTTGTCCCGGGATGCAACCCACACCAGTCCACTAACACCAAAGGTACCCACTTTACTGATGAGTGAACACAGACAACTGGTGTAAGGAAACACGCCCAATGTTTCACCCCTCACCAGGAATCAAACCCAGACTCTCACCATGTGAAGCGAGAGCTTTTGCCACCAGGCCACGGGCCACCGTGACCTGGTGGCAAGTTGTGTGATATGTAAGACAGCATGTTGTGTAATACAAGGCAGATATATTACACAATTTGTATAACACAATTTGTATTATACAAAATCAATTACAGCAAAGCAAGTTATTAGACTATGTTTCGGCTCAAAGACGAGATTTTTTTTCAAGTCAAAAAACTCAACTTTGACCAAAGGTTATCTTAATAAGAGACCTAATTTGGTGTAAGTCTCTCTATTACCCAACTTCACCAGTACATTCCTTTGTAATAAAATAAACTGACTTTTTAAAAATTAAACCTTTGGTAAATTAAATGTAATAAAGGCATTTTTATATCTGTTAAAACAGTGACTATTATAATTTCATCTGCACTAAAGAACAACAAACTTCAGAATTTAACAATAGCCTCCAGTAACCAACCAATGTATAAATACAAGACAATATGTTCTGATTTTTGCATATGTTTTATTAAGGGCAAACAAAGCACTAATTAAAAGGTGAAATAAAATATCTATACTGTAATCAAATTACATACGCTAAAAAGGGCCAATGGTTTTCTTAGTACAGAAGAGCTTAAGAGTGACCAGTCACACACAAAAATCTAAGCACTGCATTACATGAGAAATTACAAGGCTTAAAGAGTCTGCCTGTTGTGAGTGAATATACCTGGCACGAGCTCTCCTAATCCCATATGCTCTGGTTTGTAAAGAGAAAATATATATGCAAGATCAGATACTGGTAGAAGGGCATCTTCATTTAGGAATGTATTGGCCACTTACTAAACTCAGTGTGTGTGTTTGGGTCCTAAATACATGGATTTATCTCTCTTCTAAAAAAAAAAAAATTTTCTTAAGAGAATAGTAATTTTGAAAAAATAATGTTTACAAAATTTAAAAGTGCATACATATATATATATATTTTTTTTTTCAATAAACTAGCCATCTTCCATCGAGGCAGGGTGACCCAAGAAAGAAGAAATGCTTTCACCATCACTCATTCCGTCACTGACTCGCCAAAGGCATGCCAATACTATGGTTCAAAATTGCAAATATCCCCACCCTTTCTTCAGAGTGAGGGCATGATGGGGACACCTGCAGTTTTGAACGGTAGCATCAACGCCCCTCCGGCGACAGTGATGGAGTGAGTGATGGTAAAAGTTTTCTTCTTTTTTTGGGTCACCCTGCCTCGATGGGAGACAGCTGGCTAATTAAAAAAATAAAAATGTATAGTTTTAAATATAAAAATATATTGGACATGACAAGGGGAAGCAACATTAAGTATACAATGCTTCAACTCACCTCTCCACACTGTATATATTACTTACTGGTGGGGACAAGAGACTCAATATATAATGTTAGGTCAAATTGTTGCTGAAACTTAGGCTTATTCTTTACATTGAAAGATCAAAACTTCATCTATACCAGGATTTTTGCAAGTTATATTAATTTTCCTTTTATTCAATAACAATAACCCTTGTGCATTTAGTGCTTTCCAATATAATAACAACAACAATAATAACAATAATAATCATAATAATGTTCTCATTCAGAGCAAAGTGCCTAAAAGGGAATCTCTCAATGTACCTAATAGAAATGCTAATGCGAATGACAGTAATAGGTTAAGTTGTGGAATGATAGGGAAGTAAGTGGAATAAAGAATCAGTAAATAACAATTATTATAGATGATGATGATATGTCATCTATTATATGTGCATGGTTCCTCAAGAGCAGACAAATTATTGGAACACAATGGGGAAGCAATGATTATTGCAAATCAAAATGAGTACGTAATGTACACATACACTGTACCATTATGCTGAAGGGGCATCCAGCACAACAGTTTATCTTAAACTAGTCTTAGAAAAGAAAAATGATTATGTTGAAGATGTATTTTTTCAAAGTTAAAAGAAGACAGAGGAGCCAACAGAGAATGTAATAGTCATAGTGGGGCCCATGTTAACCTCCCTATAGTGTATAAATATACTCTATTTTCTAGGATATAAGGTGCACGGGTGTCGGCTGCTTGCTGGCATGGTGTTTCCAAGAAGTTGTAACATAACACTAGTAAACAACTCCTAAAGCATAACTCAAAGCTTACCCTTGACCCTATAAGGTGCAGGTTGATGTTCCAAGACTTTTTGTAGGGAAAAAGTGTATCTTGTATGCTGGAAAATTTGATAACTAGTTGGATATATTTTATTGTAGTCAGTTGACCCTATGGTTAATGTACTGACTTGGAGTTTTACCACTAACCCTCTAACCCCACTCATTCCCTGGTTTATTTTTTTTTAACCTATTTTAGGGTACTGTGGTGCAAACTCTAGTCCCTGGACCCACCTCTTAACTCTTAGTTGACATCAAACATCCCTATCCAAGGGCTAATTATTTTTTAATGCACCAGCCATCTCCCTCCAAAGTAGGGCAACCCAAAAAAGAGGAAACACATTTACCAACATTACCCTCAGACATGATATCTCCACTGCCTCCAGCCTTCTCCTTGTTGCAACATTCACCACCCATGTTTTGCACCCATATAAGTGTTTGTATAACTGTACTCTTACACAATCCCCTCTTTGCTTCTGTGGACAAAGTTCTTTGTCTCCACAAACTCCTCGGTGCACCACTCACTGTTTTTCCCCTAGTCAATTCTATGATTCACCTCATCTTTCATATACCCATCCGCTGACACATCCACTCCTAAATATCTGAATACAATCACTTCCTCCATACTCTCTCCTTCCAATCTGATATCCAAACTTTTGTCACCTAATTTTTTTGTTATCCTCATCACCTTACTCTTTCCTATATTCACTTTTAATTTTCTTCTTTTACATACCCTACAAAACTCATCCACCAACCTCTGCAACTTCTCTTCAGATTCTTCCAAAAGCACAGTGTCATCAGCAAGGAGCAATTGTGACAACTCTCGCTTTGTGTGATTCTTTATCTTTTAACCCCACACCTCTTGCATTCACTTCTTTTACAACCCCATCTATATATTAAACAACCACGGTGACATCACACATCCTTGTCTAAGGCCTACTTTTACTGGGAAATAATCTCCCTCTCTCCTACATACTCTAACCTGAGCCTCACTATTCTCATAAAAGCTTTTCACCACTTTCAATATTATTATTATTATTATTATTATAATCAAAAAGAAGCGCTAAGACCACTTTCAATAGCCTACCTCGTATTCCACACATTTGCAACATCTGCCACATTGCCTCCCTATCCACCCTGTCACATGCTTTTCCAAATCCATAAATGCCACAAAAACCTCTTTACCCTTATATAAATACTGTTCATCTATATGTTTCACTGTAAACACTTGGTCTACACACCCCCTACCTTTCCTAAAGCCTCCTTGTTCATCTGCTATCCTACTCTCCATCTTACTCTTAAGTCTTTCAATAATAACTCTACCATACACTTTACCAGGTATATTCAATAACTTTACCAGGTATACTCAACAGACTTATTCCCCTATAATTTTTGCACTCTCTTTTGTCCCCTTTGGCTTTATACAAAGAAACCATGCATGCTCTCTGCCAATCCCTAGGTACCTTACCCTCTTCCATTAAATAAAAGCACCAACTACTCCAGAACTATATCCCCATCTGCTTTTAACATTTCTATCTTTATCCCATCAATCCCAGCTGCCTTACCCCCTTTCATCAATATTTTTCTATGTGCATATGTATCTTTGTTTTTTCTCAACACACTGGCCATCTCCCAGTGAGGCAGGATGACCCAAAAAAGAAAGAAACCATCTATGGATATGTATCTATCCTTCTATATATACAGCTATCTATGTATCTCTCTCTTACTGATATGACTGGTAAGAAAACACTGGTTACAAAGCAAGCTTTCACTGGGACGATATTTTATTCTGCATAGAGTCGCAACGACCAAACTACACACACAGTGAACATTTTCATCTAATAAAAGCTTGTCCCTCAAAGTGTATCTGTTCTTCACTCTCACACCTTCCTTAGCTCTTGCTCTCTAGAACCCTTAATCCTTAACACCATTATTTCACTCAGTGGTAGGATAAAATTGGCAAAAGTCTAAAGATGTGCAACAAAAAATGGGTTTAAGAGTTAGGAAGATAATACCTAAAGTGAAAGAATATTTAACCTTATTTGAAGATAAGGAGGAGAAAATGACAACCACAGATAACACACAGACACAAATTTATTTTCAAAATGTACATAAATGTTGCAAAATTTAGTGGATTTGTTCCACATATTTGGAAAAGTCCCTGATCATGTGGAGCATTTCAAGCTCAAGTCATATAAAGATATAAGAAAAAGATTTTGAGTACCTCTTAGAATTACCAACAGATAGATCAAGATGTCAAGAATTTAAATCCTAAAGAAGAATACAGAAAGGACAAGAGAGCAGTACAGTATGGAGGGCCCTGCATATACAGTGTATTTTCGGTGTTCCACATTTTCATTGTCTTTAACTGAGCCATTGTTCACCCACTGGTGACTGGAATATACCTGGAGAGGGTATACTCTTCAATGGCTCAATCTGAGGCTAACTAAAACATGGAACACTGAAAAGAAAGTGCAGTATATGCAGTGCCCTCCTGTACTTCTTAATAAATAATATGATGGATAACTTGACTGGTGCTGGAATAGTTCGTAAAATATATACCTTAAGATGGGATAAATGGCACTTAGATGGAAGTAAGACGCATGTAAATTCAAAACCTTGGGTTTCCTACACACACAGCCAAGTGTCACCCATTTCTATACGAACATTATATCATGTGGAATGAAATCTTTGACTTGACTTATCACGACTTGTGTTTTTTTTTTTTTTAAACATACCAGCCGTCTCCCACCGAGGCAGGGTGACCCGAAAAAGTGGAAAACCATGAAGCTTTTCTTCTTTTTACACTTAGTAATTACCTGTAGATTTATGCTCAATAATAACCCACAAGGAGACAGAAGCTCAGGAGATTAATTTATCTGTATATTTCAACCCCTTCTGGGATCCTCTTCCTTTACTTGCTTTAGCAATAAAAAATCAATAAAGCCGCAAGTAGCAAAACGTCTCCTTCAATAAATGTTTTGAGTGTGCATTTGTGACTTATTCCCACAATCTATCAGCATTAACATGCCTGTATGTACTTGTATAAGGAATATTAATAACAGTTTCATACACACACAGTGGGCTATATCAAAATAATGTTGTGATAAAATCTACCGAGTGGGCAAAATGGCGTCGGTGATAGTGACATTCACTGACTATAAAGAAAACAGAAAGCATAATGATACAGGAAGTATGGATGAAAGGACACTGGTGCATACAAATGGAGAATCTTTATTGGATATGTTTCTGGCCCGGGACCTTGGTCACTCCAAGGTCCCAGGACTGTAACATATCCAATAAAGATATCCTGAGTGTATGCACTTGTGCCCTTTCAATACAGATGTCATGAGTGTAGGAATCTGTGCCCTTTCACCCACAGTTGGACTTAGGGAAAATTTTACAAGAGGTGATTATAAGCATAAAATATTTATTTGATGAACCTGCTACTAAACCTACTACACAAATCATTAGCCAATCCTCTTCGACTCTCTGAGAAGTTGCTCCAATTTGTGGTTAAATTGAATGGAAATTCATTAACGATGAAAAATCTATCTTGTGATTTAATACAATTCAACATGCACACAACCAGAGGAAAAGTTCACTAGGTAAAAAATAAATTCTGTAACACCAGATGACTTGCATGTTAAACAAAGCAAAATAAAAAAAAAAAAATTATTAGCCACAGAAAATAAACCAATCAAAACTCTTGTTACTGTTTTATTTCATTTAAAATGTTATCCAGAGAATTATTTCATAGCCAATAATGATAAATGAGACACTTATGGAACACTTGGGTTTCTTTATTCGGGAAACATTTCTCCAGCCAGTGGCTTCTTCAGTCCAATGCAAAGAAAAATGGAAGATGAGTTGAGATAATCAGTCCCTCAGACTTGAGTTGATGTGTTCAGTCCATCAATCAATTGGTGGACTGAATACATCGACTGCATCAGACTAAAGAAGCCACTGGCACAAGGGTCTCATTTATCAACTGTCGGTTTTCTAAACCATTTATTCATAGTCAGTAACGTCAGCGAGAACCCAATAATCAGACTAAAAAGTATTATTATTCACCTGTTGGCGTCTTGTCGCACAGACAGAGGCTTACTACCGTCCGTGGGCGTGCCCGCAGGGGGAGTACCTGCTGACCCATTTGCCGTTCCTGAGGGATTCTTTTTCTTAAGCGCTGATTTGAGAGGCTTGGCATCCAGCCTGGGCTCTCTTGCAGGCACCTCTTCCACTTGAGAAGTGTCAAAGTGGCCGAGGCTACTGTTAAAATAGACGACGCCGTCCACGTCAGTTCCTTCGTCATCGTCTTCAACGTCGTCATCTGGCGACATAACATTTACTCTCACTAACTTTATTCTTCACTGAATAATTATATTACATAATACATAACCTTAAGAAAACATGCCAAAAATTAGTTATTTAATATTCAGTTAACCTCATTTATGAAAATTTATATAAAATCTATGAACTCTCAACCAATATTTTCTTGTGTCATTCAATAATGAAAATAAAAAGCAAAAATTTAAATGAGATATCTGGGTCATGAGGTCACCATCAATAATTTGGTCAACAGAAAAATTTCTTTATGTAAGAGAAACAAAACAATTCAGAAATTATGGAAAATTAACAGAAAGTTGACCAGAGTCTGTCAGTAAAATAGAACAATACTCATCCCTTGTGACTTTCTGATAGAAGCATGTGAATGGTATAAATTTATTGGTTAGATCATGGGCATCATGACTGGATGGAGAGCGATTCACATCCTTAACAGGCCAGAGATATTTACAAGGTATGAAGCCTATTAATTCAGCCTATACAGTTTGTTTTAATGTTGAAACTCTGCTAAGAATCCATCTGACATAACTTATGTCATGTACCATGCAAAATGCATAACAGAAATGTGCTCAAAAAGCAAGGCTTTAAAGGCTAAATGACAATAGCAAGTTGTACAAATATTGATGTGTGTAATTTGTCTTGTAACTTAAGTGGAATTTATAAATGCTGCCTCAGAAGGAAGGTTGCTCATGTGGGTACCTCAGAAAAAACATACACAGTAAACCCCAAAGTGTTACAAGATGTAGCCATGTTGGCAGAGAAACAGCTTAAACAAACTCAATGAAAATCAAACATCCTGATTGTCAATCTGTATACAAAAGATTCTCCTCTGTATGATGCAGAGTACAATAATAAACACATGACAAGGGAGCTCCCACCCTTAAATAAATCTACAGAGAATCTTTGAGACAATATGGAAGCCATAAGTAGGGTATTCAAAGGTTCTCTTCCTAAAGATAAAAGTTAGACAATACAGAGTGAATATAATGATTTTCAAATAATGCATTCAGAGAATCTGAAGTTTATGTGAAGACAATTTTGAGGGGGTTATCACCCCAACAGCCTGTCCCAGATCGGACCTCTCTCCTGACACCCTTGTCAGTGAGACTATTGATGTTCTTTACACCCAGTCCAACCTAAGCACCAGACCAGCCTGGCTCAGGTGTTATGACTGTGTGTAGAGGTAGGATAATATAAACTCAGGTAGACTAGACTGTGGTTTACTGGAAATGGGTTCTTCCAGGCAGACAATGAGAAGGGTGAACCCAGGGCCAAGTTCAATGGTTTGTCTCCTTGTTTGTACTATTTTTAATGTCTGAATTTATGTTTACATACCTACTCAATCAACTATGTCTACTTCTTAAGTAATCTGTAAGCGTTAGTATTAGCCTGCCCCAAAATGCTTTGCATGTTAGTGTCTTTCTTTGTACTGCAGAAAGAAATACATGTAGTTTATATGTTTTGTTTAAAGGGTAGCCGTCATCACAGCGAGGGGGAGGCAAGTCTGCTATGGCTCACACCAGCCTAGGCCTCCTGGAGGAAACTATCACAAACAGTCCTAGACAGGCATTATGAAATTACGAGGCAGGAATACCATTATGCTGGCCGGGCTCTGGGAGAAGAAAAATTCTTGAAACTCATCAAAAATAAAGGTATATCAAATGCAAGTACCACCACTCAACTAATCCAACCTAAGCACCAAAAAACAGCTATTCAGGAATACGTAATAATGTTGGTAAGGTTACCAATAATTTTTTTTTTTTCAACAAGTCGGCCGTCTCCCACCGAGGCAGGGTGACCCAAAAAGTAAGAAAATCCCCAAAAAGAAAATACTTTCATCATCATTCAACACTTTCACCTCACTCACATATAATCACTGTTTTTGCAGAGGTGCTCAGAATACAACAGTTTAGAAGTATATGCATATAAAAATACACAATATATCCCTCCAAACTGCCAATATCTCAAACCCCTCCTTTAGAGTGCAGGCACTGTACTTCCCATTTCCAAGACTCAAGTCCGGTTATATAAAATAACCGGTTTTCCTGAATCCCTTCACTAAATATTACCCTGCTCACACTCCAACAGCTCGTCAGGTCCCAAATACCATTTGTCTCCATTCACTCCTATCTAACACGCTCACGCACACTTGCTGGAAGTCCGAACCCCTCGCCCACAACACCTCCTTTACTCCCTCCCTCCAACCTTTTCGAGGACGACCCCTACCCCGTCTTCCTTCCCCTACAGATTTATAAGTTCTCCATGTCATTCTACTTTGATCCATTCTCTCTAAATGACCAAACCACCTCAACAAACCCTCTTCAGCCCTCTGACTAATACTTTTATTAACTCCACACTCCGAATTTTCTCCATAATATTTACACACATTGCCCTTAGACAGGACATCTCCACTGCCTCCAACCGCCTCCTCATTGCAGCATTTACAAACCAAGCTTCACACCCATATAAGAGTGTTGGTACTACTATACTTTCATACATTCCCTTCTTTGCCTCCATAGATAGCATTTTTTGCCTCCACATATACCTCAATGCACCACTCACCTTTTTTTCTTCATCAATTCTATGATTAACCTCATCCTTGATAAATACATTCGCTGACACGTCAACTCCAAAATATCTGAAAACATTCACTTCTTCTATACTCCTCCTCCCCAATTTGATATCCAATTTTTCTTTATCTAAATCATTTGATAATCTCATCACCTTACTCTTTTCTATGTTCACTTTCAACTTTCTACCTTTACACACACTCCCAAATTTGTCCACTAATCTTTGCAATTTTTCTTTAGAATCTCTCATAAGCAGAGTATCACTTCCCATTATATATTTAATTCCCCATAATTTAATCCCACCCCTCTCCCAAACACCCTAGCATTTACTTCTTTTACAACCCCATCTATAAATATATTAAACAACCATGGTGACATTACACATCCCTGTCTAAGACCTACTTTTACCGGGAAGTAGTCTCCCTCTCTTCTACACACCCTAACCTGTGCCTCACTATCCTCATAAAAACTCTTTACAGTATTTAGTAACTTACCACCTATTCCATATACTTGCAACATCTGCCACATTGCTCCTCTATCCACTCTATCATATGCCTTTTCTAAATCCACAAACGCAATAAAAACTTCCCTACCTTTATCTAAATACTGCACACATATATACTTCAATGTAAACACTTGATCTACACATCCCCTACCCACTCTAAAACCTCCTTGCTCATCCGCAATTCTAAATTCTGTCTTACCTCTAATTCTTTCAATAATAACCCTACCGTACACTTTTCCTAGTATACTCAGTAAACTTATTCCTCTATAATTTTTACACTCTCTTTTGTCTCCCTTCCCTTTATATAAAGGGACTATACATGCTCTCCGCCAATCCCTAGGTACCTTCCCCTCTTTCATACATTTATTAAACAAAAATACCAAAAATTCCAACACTATGTCCCCCCCTGCTTTTAACATTTCTGTCATGATCCTGTCAGTTCCAGCTGCTTTACCCCCTTTCATTCTATGTAATGCCTCATGCACCTCCCCCACACTCACATCCTGCTCTTCTTCACTCCAAAAAGATGGTATACCTCCCTGGCCAGTGCATGAAATTACCGCCTCCCTTTCTTCGTCGACATTTAAAAGTTCCTCAAAATATTCTCACCATCTACCCAAAACCTCCATCTCCCCATCTACTAACTCCCCTACTCTGTTTTTAACTGACAAATCCATTTGTTCCCTAAGCTTTCTTAACTTGTTTAACTCCAAATTTTTTTCTTATTTTCATTAAAATTTATTGACAGTACCTCTCCCACTCTACCATCCGCTCTCCTTTTGCACTCTCTCTCACCACTCTCTTCACCTTTCTTTTACTCTCCATATACTCTGCTCTTCTTATAAAACTTCTGCTTTGTAAATACCTCTCATAAGCTACCTTTTTCTCTTTTATCACATTACTTCATCATTCCACCAATCACTCCTCTTTCCTCCTGCACCCACCCTCCTATAACCAGAAACTTCTGCCCCACATTCTAATACTGCATTTTTAAAACTATTCCAACCCTCTTCAACCCCCCCCCCACTACTCATACTTGCACCAGCCCACCTTTCTGCCAATAGTTGCTTATATTTCACCCAAACTTCCTCCTCCCTTAGTTTATACACTTTCACCTCCCTCTTACTTATTGTTGCCATATTCCTCTTATCCCATCTACCTCTTACTCTAACTGTAGCTACAACTATATAATGATCCGATATATCAGTTGCCCCTCTATAAACATGTACATCCTGGAGCCTACCCATCAACCTTTTATCCACCAATACATAATCTAACAAACTACTTTCATTATGTGCTACATCATACCTTGTATATTTATTTATCCTCTTTTTCAAAAAATATGTATTACTTATTACCAAACCTCTTTCTACACATAGCTCAATTAAAGGCTCCCCATTTTCATTTACCCCTGGCACCCCAAATTTACCTACTACTCCCTCCACAACATTTTTACCCACTTTAGCATTAAAATCCCCAACCACCAGTACTCTCACACTTGGTTCAAAACTCCCCACGCATTCACTCAACATTTCCCAAAATCTCTCTCTCTCCTCTATACTTCTCTCTTCCCCAGGTGCATATATGCTTACTATAACCCACTTCTCACATCCAACCTTTATTTTACTCAACATAATCCTTGAATTAATACATTTATAGTCACTCTTTTCCTGCCATAGCTTATCCTTCAACATTATTGCTACTCCTTCTTTACCTCTAACTCTATTAGAAACCCCTGACCTAATCCCATTTAATCCTCTCCACTGACACTCACCCACCCCTTTCAGCTTTGTTTCACTTAAAGCCAGGACATCCAGCTTCTTCTCATTCATAACATCCACAATCATCTCTTTCTTATCATTCGCACAACATCCACGCACATTCAGACTTCCCACTTTGACAATTTCTTCT